ACAATGCCTAAAAGCTCTGATTTAAATTCCCTGCCAGAGTATCTTTCCTKAAGGCTCTCCCAGTCCCTGTGGACYTTCCCAAAGGCTTGGCCAAGGCCTGCTGGGCAGCACTGAGGGCAGCACTGACCCCACTACATCTCTCCAGACAGCATACTTTGTTGTGGGAACCTGTGGTGGGGCATCAACCACCTGCCCCTCGGGCCCCARTGTGGTCTCAGGAATGTTCACTGGGCCACAGCCTTGGTCAGTGGCCCCTGGGATGGACAAGTGCCCTGTGCCCATCCAGAGGAAGGTCTCTGGACATTGGGAAGAGAGTGCCAGGTATTGCCAGTGCCCTCTCCTGCCCCTACTCATGCCYTGCCCACGGAGATGCCCCTGAGCTGAGCAGGGGAGCAATGGGTTTGGGCTCATCATGRGCACTTCAATATGGACGTGTTTCAGTGTCACAGAGCACAAAAGCTGCTCCCCCATGTGAGGACTGTCCTTCACCCACTTTGAGGAGCTCTGGAGTAGGAGCTCACAGGACAGYTTGCCTGTGGAGGAGCTTTTTTCTTCAGAGAGATGAAGGTCTGCTGGGAAATGGCCTTGCTTACCTAGGTCATGCTCCAGGTCTGTTCTGATCATCTGAAGGTCACGCTGTGTGGACTCATGTAGGTTCTCRAATGCTTCCTGAAGAGTTTGAGTTTGTTGGGAGGTTTCATGGAGGTCCTTCTCCAGCCTGGATTCTAAGGCACTTGTATTTGCCTCCAGTGTTCTTCCTGCGAAGAAAGAACCATCTCACTGGGACAAAGTCATGGTTTTCTTGAGAGAGAGACCATTGATTTGTAGTGACGATGCCCAAAAGCTCTCATATAAAATCCCTGTCAAGGTGTCTCTTAGGGCTCTCCCAGTCTCTGTGGGTATTCCTATTGGCTTGACTAAGGCCTCCTGGGCAGCATGGAGGGCAGGAACRATCCCACTCTGTCTCCATCTCTGTCTCTCCAGAGAGCACATGTGGGCCCTGGGAGATAACGTTCTTTGTCATGAGGATGGTGTGGTGCCACCRAGCACAAAAACTGTTCTCCATGTAAGGGCTGTCTTTCCCCATCCCTGCTGAGGAGCTGTGGAGGACAAACTTACAGGACAATTTGCCTGCAGAGCAGCCTTTGCCTTTAGAGGTTTGAAGGCCTGTTGTGGAAATGGTTCTGCTCACCTAGTGTGTTCTCCAGGTCTCTTCTGACCATTTGAAGATCACGCTGTGTGGTGACCTTCATGTTCTGGAAAGTTTGCTTCAGAGTTTGTATGTGTTGGGAGAGCTGCAGGAGGTCCTTCTGCCACATGAATGCTACATTTCCTGTGACATTTGCCTCCATTGTCTTTCCTGTGAAAAAAGACTGATGTCAGTGGGACAATCATTTTTTCTCCCTTGAGGCAAGGTCTTGTCCCACTGATGACACAGGGCCCTTCCTCTTAGAAAGGACCGAGAAGATGGTGTTCTTTCACTCCCTTCTAAGACAAGGGAGAGAAGAGGGACCTTGACTGTCTCCAGTTGCCACCTCAGAATCAAAGGTGTTCCACATGACTGGGACATAAGAGCTGCTCCCAAGGAAGTTCTGCCCATTCTGAGGAAAGGCAAAGGACTAAGTCACAGGTCAGTTTGCCTGTAGAGCTGGACTGACCTTCAGAGAGATGAAGGCCTGCTGGGGACTGGCCCTGCTCACCTAGTTCATCCTTCAGATTTGTTCTGATCATCTGAAGGTCACGCTGTGTGCACACCTGGGTGTTTTGAAAAGCTTTCTGCAGAGTTTGAACTTGTTGGGACACTTCATGGAGGTCCTTCTTCCACATGGACTCCAGGGTGTTTGTAGTATTTGCCTCTATTGTCAATCCTATAAAGAAAGAACAGTGTCATTGGGACACTCTCATTACATTCTTGAGGGAGAGACCAGTGGCCTGATTTAAATTCACTGCCAGAGAGTCTCTTCTTAGGGTCTTCCCTTTCAGTATTCTTGATTTAAAAAACTATTCTTGACATAAGGGTTGTTCTTCTCCCTTTGCTTTGAGGAGCTGTGGAGGATAAGCACACAGGACAGTTTGCCTTAGAGCAGCTTTTGCAGAGAAATGAAGGTCTGCTATGGAATGGCCCCGCTCACCTAGTTCAGCCCTCAGGTCTGTTCTGAGGAGCTGAAGATCACGCTGTCTATACTCCTGCTCATTCTGGAATGCTTCTTGCAGAGTCTTAATTTTTTGGTAGAGGTGCTGGTGGTCCTTCAGACACATAGATTCCAAGGCATCCACTGTCTTTCC